GAAGTACACAGCAAAAATCTAAACTTCTAGCAACTGAAGTTTAGAGCATATTTGCCTTCCTTCTTGCTTTTTATAATTGTAGGAAATGGGAAGGTAGCGGCTTGTATGAAGTTGGGAAGGAAACAAACCACTAGCAAGGTTTCTGCAATAATAGTGGACTGCTGGAACTAGTCTCTTGTACTAAAGGACAGCAGGTTCTTGCGTTAAGAAACCCATAGTACTTTTTTATCCACCCTGAATGCTACTTACTGTAATACCCCCTGAGCTCCCTTTGGCTGACTGTAAACATAGCCCAAGGGTGTAGTCTCTTGACAAAGATTACAGCTTGTATGAAGAGATAGTAAGAACCTTGAATTTAGCTTCTGAAAGTCAAGGCTGCAAATTTCTATCAAAGTGACCTGAGTGCTTTCTTTCACTCTATTTTAATGGAAATAGAGTTGTATCAAGGCTACCATTACCTACTTGAAAAGACAACATCAAAGCAGGTGCTATGGCAACAGTGCGGCTTTATTCTCAGCCTGTTATGAGTGGGAGACAGGGGCAATGCAGTGCTGCTACTGTTACATTGGCAGATGAGGAAATTAATCAACTTTTACTGCAAATTATCCTGGACAGCTACAGCTGTAAAGTTTCTACAGTTGTGGGGGTGGACTGGGCTGCAGTGACATTTAGAGTCAGTCTTCTGGAGTGTCAGCACACTTTGAAGAAACCCAACTGCTATTTGCATTGAATTTATATCTGGAAATAAATCTGTAGGAACTGTCTTGCTATTTGCAAGGCTTTGTCCACTCACTGGATAAATTGGTGTAGATGACAGAACACTTAAAATTACTTAGAATCATAAACTAATGTATTTTGAATAAAGTACTCTAGTTTTCCTCCTGTGTTTAAGGCAACTTGTACAACAGAATGGCTGCATTGGAGAGCCGAGTGCCTGAAGCCAAGTGCACAGTATTGACTAGTACACAAACTGCTTGCATTCTGTCAGTGAAAGTCTCCATACTTGTATACATAAACAATTTAATGGACTTCTAACTGGATATAGCTTGGGAATTGACTGTAGTAACAGCTGGAAGGTTGGTATCTGGTTATCCAGGTTACTGCCTTAGGACTATCATTTGCTTCTGAGGTGAATTGGGAACCTCCTGAGCTTAGCATTGGACTTGTAGTTTGGATATGTCATAATAACATAAATGTAGCTGACGAGTCATGTGAAAGCGTGAATAATGTCAATACAGGTTTTGCCCTGAAATCTATTAGCAGGCAACCACTGCTTCCCATTACGACTTTGTGGAACACTAGCCAAATGACCATAGAAACTCATTTGGCATCTGAGTGGAGGAATGCAGGGGTGACCAAGGGTCTGGGTTTATCATCTGCTGTTAAACTATTTAATTTAACTTGGCACCAGTTCTGACAATGTTTATTCCAGTGTACTGGCTTGGCCATTAACTCACCCAGCAGAACACAGACTTAGTTTGACAGTAGTCAGCGAAAGCCTAGTGGGTGTATACATACAGTTTGATAGAGGCGAGACAGAATCTGTCTTGTCTTAGTATCTTTCTGCGCTTAGGATTTTGGGCTGTGTAGGACTTCTGTAGAGCTGGTTTATTGGTCCTTCTGGAATAATGCTTTATCTGCAGTTCTGACTAGTGAATTTTGGTTGTCTAGTGTCTTAGGTAATGTATAATCCTTTCAGGTTGAGGACTTGCATTCACACTGCTAGGAGGCGTGATTTCAGACTAGGAAGTTGTTGAAAATGCTTTTGATAAAAATGAGACTAATTATTACGCTGTAGAAGAAACAATTGCTGCAGTAATTATGCTGAATTTATCAGAGGAATGAGCATGTTCCAGGGGCTGTGCCGAACTGGGTCATGAGTTTCATGACAGTAGGCTTAGCAGATCATCAGGCCAGAAAACTGATGCTCTAATGCTGAATGAGCATGGGGAGAAATGTTTGTAAAAATGAAACTAGCCTGACTTCGAGTTTTGTGCCTTAGTCTCATATCTGTTCCAGCAAGCAAACAAAGCACTAAGTGTTCAGAATAGCTACTGGCATCTCAGTGGCTGAACAAGGATAACTCTCAACATAAACCGTGAAGCTGAGAATAACTTCGGTGTGCTGTGTGGTCTTGAAGTGACACTTCAGTAGACATTGGAAGCTTCTGTTGACACCTTAGGGTTGTCTCCTGCAACCACATTCTTGCCCAATGATAGCCCATGCTTCATCAGCTGTCTGGCTTGCCTAATGAGAACCATCTACCAGTGGCAGATGGAGGCAGTAGGACGTGCAGAAACCCTTCCTACTGAAGGAAAAGGTGGTCTCCTCAAACAGGGTAATAATCCTTCATCAGAAAGGCATATAGTAACTTCAGGTGTGAATCTATCCCGAGTTAAAAATAAGGACCTAAGATTTAAGCGGAATAGAACAGGACTCTCAAATTGCTTTTTTTGAATAGATGCTTTCTAACAGCTGCGTATCTGAAGAATGCTGCTCTATCAGTACTAATTTCTGGAGGAAGGAGAATTGCTGCTGTTTCTGGGTTTTAAGGAACATAAGGTTTAGAAGTTGATCTCAATAAATAGATGTAATTCATATCCAGACTAAAGGATAGGGTACACAACTTTGCTTTAGCATGTAGTTGTCAAGTTTTGACTTGTAAGCCACTTAAATGGGAGCCTTCTAGCATACACTTCAGTTTGAATGTTTTCAGTGCTTATGACCGAATTGGAGAAGAAGATTTTTCAGCTCAAAGGGAAAATAAGTACTCTTAACTGGCCTTTTCTCCAACTTGCTAGCTGGACTAGCATGTCAAAAGTTCAAAAGGGAATGTAGATGGTAAAATGAGCTCAACTGGCACTTCCAACCCCACATTGAACCTGTAAGCCTGATATGTTGTTTAGAGATTAACTTTATAGACTTCATGCCCAAAAGCATGAAAAGAGTTTCTGAAAACCTGGGAACTCATTGTTTCTGAACTGTTTTTATTCTGTTCTAATCCCTCTTGTAAGTAACTTGAGAGGAGAATGGAATATTTTCTGCAGGTGAGAGCCTATATGTTAAATATGATAAACGACTTTCTACCGGAGACACGGACAAAGCGTTGATGTTGTAATGTGGAAGGCTGAACTAGGTTAAAAAGCCAATAGCTGAAATCAGAGAAAAGTAATCCAATATTTCACTTCTGGGAATCTCCTTCATGCACTCTGGGGGACCTAGCTTTATTCACTCTCGACTAGAGTATTCTTATCCTCAAGATGAGAGTGTTTATTTATAAAGCCGGACTTCTGACATAATAGTCTTAAGTGCAATTTTATTATTAGTCACTAGTACAATCAACAACGATTTACTTGGGAAGGAGAGCTTGAATGCTCTTAAACATTTAGCAATAAGGTTTTGTAACAAAATACTGTTCTGTACTTTATCATCTATAAATAATGGACTAAATAGCATAATGTGCAAGTACACAACTAACTTCTCAAGTACTTTTGAACTGTGACAGCCAAAATCTTGTTATTGGCTGGCAGTAATACAATGGCCTGTAGTTGTAGGCCTGACTAATGCAGGGAAGTGTCTCTGCCATTAAACCTGTTTTGGGCAGCCAAAACTATCACTCCATCGTAGCTTAAGCGTAACAGCACACAAATGGTATTGTACAGAGATATCAACTCAAACTGGGACCAGAAGCTAAGTGAGATGGCTTATGACTTAAAAAATAAACAACAAAAACCAGAAGGCACTAGCTGAGAATGACTACTGTGCTTCTGCCAGCAGGAAAAGTGGGGATAACTCTAATTCCTTGTGAACATCAGCTTCCTAGGGTATTCCTCAGGAGTCTTCTTTCATGATGTATAAGACAGTGAATATGCAGGACAACAGTAAGCTTTATTCTGTTAGCACTGGTTGTGTATGGCAATTACAGACTCTTGGTCTTGCTTTTAGTAGGTCGTAACTCCCACAGATATTTTTGTAACACTCCAGCCAGTTTGCTATCTCAATGGCATGTAAACTTTGGATTGTGGTCTTGGACCTTTCCATTCTGGGGATGTCATTAGAGTGCTCTCTCAATGCCTACTCTTAAAATAATGTGCAAGTTGGATTACAGTAATGGGGTAACCCTGCACCCCAAGAACACATAGAAGTAATACAGCTCTTATGGAAGTTAGCGTAAGGACACCTACCAAAATGCTTACGTATTTAACATGGTTTTGTACAACATTATAGCTTGGCCCCCACCTGATGTCCCTTTCAAGGGTGTTTGAGCTGGATGCTGACTCCTGGCCTTGGCTGGAAAGCTCTGCCTCATTAAGCTCTGCTTGATTTAACCTCGTAGCAAACCAGTCTGATCTCATCAGCACTGAACTTTTTTGCATCTCAACCTTGTTGGCTTCTTTGGAGCTATCTGAACTTGGCAGCTTGTACAAGCAAATCTTCAGCTTCATCTGGCCTGAATGTGTTCATTGTAGGACTTACTGGTTTTGCTTTTAAAGATGTTGGAGGCAGTGTTGTACCAGGTAGCTGAGAAGTACAGGAAGCTTGGTTAATGTCCTGTGCTGGTACCTGAAACATTCCCTTGAATGCAAGAAGAGCAACCTGTGTGGATTAAGATGACTTTTTTCTTCTCCCCCCTCCCTTCTCTCCTCCTCTGCCCTGTGATGTTGTATGTATATTGGCATTGGGAATCCAGCTCCTGAGACAGTAAGAATAGCAGATGCTTGTACAACATTAGGAACATCTCCTCGTGTGACCAGAAAATCTGCTATTCTGCTGGGTGATATGGTGGCAAAATACCAGCAGTTAGGATGACATATAAATGAGGCCCACAGTTAAGCAGTTTGAGGTACAGCTTACTCATGTAGCTTAGATTTTTTTTATCTGTGTTTGTGTCTTCAGTGTTTCTCAGTACTGTTGTTGTTGCTGAAATGGAACTAATGTGTAAATTAATAGCTGGTTGCTTGCTTCTGCTTATCAAAACTTCTAATTTGTCTAATCAATAGCTTATGTTCTTGTTTTCAGACAAATCTACCTATCTTCAAATTGAAAGAATCTACAGTCAGAAGAAGATACAGTGACTTTGAATGGCTAAGGAATGAGCTAGAAAGAGAAAGCAAGGTGGGTAAAATGAAAGGAAAATACAAGTCTTCATAGACATAAACCTTAGATATCATATAGTAGTTATATATATCAGATATTGTGGTTGAAAACGTCCAGAAATAAAACACTGTCTTTCAGCAAACCTCAGTTGTACTATGCTAGAGGTTATTTAATGGTTTTGAGTTAATTCAGAGTTAAACTACCTGAATTCAACTTGTATGGTGCACACTGTTCTTCTCTGGTCGTGTTTTATTACTTCACTAGGGATGTGGTTGATGAATTGGGTCCTCTAGGAGGAAGAGGTGGCACAGGAGGTGTTTAAACTTGCTCACAGGCTGCATTTAAAGATGCTTTTCTAAATCTTTCAGGTTGTGGTACCACCTCTACCAGGAAAAGCTCTTCTCCGTCAGCTCCCCTTCCGAGGAGATGATGGCATATTTGATGATTCCTTCATAGAGGAAAGGAAGCAGGCTCTCGAACAATTCATAAACAAGTAAGTGTTGGGTCTAATTATCTGGAGACAAATCCAGAACTCTGCTCCGGAAGATTGAACTAAAGCTGCCAATTCTCTAACTATGGTAGCTGCACTAGGTTCAAAATAATAACTTTCACATAATCTTGCAGTAGGACATATTAACACTGCTTATCTGGTGTATAGTTTGGATATCTTAATGCTTACCTGAACAGCTGAGGTCAATGTTAGTGTTGTTGTCAATTTATGCAAATTACTGCTAAAATTATAGCATTCAAAATAGTTTTACTTTTTCGTTTCTGAAAAGGTATCCTCCATTGGGTGAACAATGGAGCTTACAATGGGCTTACAGCAGTTTACTTTGATTGCAGATGTGAGGTATTATCAGCTTGTATAATAATGCATATTTTCTCTAATCATCATGAGCATCTTTCTGAAATGTGAAAACACTACCTGAGGTATGCACATACATAGTTTGAAATAGACACTTGTGGTTTTGGCACTGTCTTTCAAGGGGTGAGCAGAAATTACAGTAACAAAGTCTTAGGATTCTTTCTACTATCTGACACTACTCACTGCTCTCCATATAGTGACCTGAAGAGCTACTTTAATCTCTTTAATGATGTGGATCCAAACAGTGGGTAAGAACGAATACTGTCAGCCAGCTCTGCTGGTCCCTAGAGCCAACACTGTTCAGACCCAGCTGGATTTGGGACTGCTCTCTTTAAGTATTCAAGCTTGTCAGTTCCACTGGCATTTTAATCTTGTTCAATAGTAACGCTGTTCAACAAGGATAGAGGATGTCTGAGTTCAGCCAGAACTTCATCTGCTTGTCAGTTACTGCTAGTCAGTTCAGGCACCTGGCTTGTAGTTGAGACACTAGTTCACTAAAACTTTCCTGTGCAAGTAAGCTCAGTGTGACTATGAAATCTCTCAAGTGTTTTTTTTCCATAGTTGCTTGTTAGCTCAATTTAGAGGTATTGCTAATGATTCTGAACAGGTATAATGCTTCAGAACGCTCTTGTCTCTGTTCAAAGACTAGTGGAAGGAATTTCCAAGGTATCTGGTTTTGCATTCACACTACATGAAGGCATATGTGCTTATCGTAAGATGGAATATGTGTTTTCTAAGGCTGTACAATCAAGGCAGTCATGACTAAAGTACAACTGTGATCATGTAGGCTTGAGACTCTACATTAGATGCAGAAGAAATACACTTACTGAAAGTTTTGTATGCTGAGTCTAACAACATGTGGAGGAAGAGGGCTGTTTATGTTCTGAAGCAGCTGATAGCAAAACAGTCATCTTAACTGGAATCTCTGAAAAACTCAATATAGCTGACAGAAATGGAGTGGCTGGTTTACTGGTATCACTTGTTCAGTCCTACATCAAGTAATACATGGATCTTACAGAAGTGTAGAACTTCTTGGTCAGTTTTTCCACATTTGAAACCTAAAAACAGGCTGTTAATGTAGATATTGATGTAGTGGCAGGCTGGAGTACAGCTAGAACAAGATTCTTCAGGCAGAACTCCTAGCTATTCAACCTCATCAATTTATTCTAATGGCTCATTAAGCAAATATTACTAATTAAAATTTTGAACCATGTAGGAGCTTTAAAACTTCTACAAAGTACTCTGGATACTAGTGAAATTAGTCCTGAAGTTAATTTGCGTAATATGTTCACATAACTGCATTCTCAAAGCCAGTCTTTGCTCCTGGAACTAAAGAAGAGTCCCTCAGATAACTGACATCACTGTATTGAAAAAAGGTCTTGATGCACCCATGTCAGTTCCTGATACTCAGGATGTTGTTGAGAAGCTCTGTCCCTCTACATGTAAAATTGAGAGGGACTAAATCACTGTACAGCTTCAATCAGCGCTCTCAGGCCAGCTTGCTGGCAGCATCATCAGTACTGCCTACAACGGCATTCACAGGGGTAGCTGGGTTACAACATGCTTGTCTGTCTGAACCTGACTTTGGGATACATGAAAGTTTTTGAAGTAGCAGCTGCTCTGTGTAAGGGTCACTTTAGAGAAGAATATGGAAGAAAAGCCAATGCAGAGCAAGGTATTCACGTGAATCCAAGAGCTGAATCTGAGAGATCATATCTAGTCTTGTAGTTCGGCTACCAATTTGCAAGCCTTCCTGAAAGGCAGAAGGAATATGTTGCTGCCTCATCTTCTGCTGTATGTCTCTCTTGAAGTTCAAGGCCAGCAACTTCAATTTGATGGGGGCAAGAAACTCAGACTGGTTATTCCAGACTGTTTTCTTTGTGAACTAGTGCTTGGGCCTGCAGCTTATTTACTAGAACCTGGCAAAACTGATAAATTTTTATGACTGCATTTGGAATAATCTATCAATGCTGAATAGGATTGCTCAGCTTCTTCATTAAAGGACACCCTCAGTGGGTAGTAGTGACAAGTGAATCTGCCCTGTGGTGGAATAAGTGCTAGGAGATACATTTGGAGAAGATGAGCAAAAGTGCTTGGAAGTACTAATGCTGAGCCACTGGAGTTGACTATGCATTACACACTTTCAACTAGATAGCTTCCATTTAGAGTTGGTGTTCTGGCAGATATGGAGGCCATAAGGCTGACACAAACTGTCCTAGGGAGGATGAGGGGGTTTCCCCCTTAAAGGAAGAAGTGTGTCGTGATTGACCGAACTGGATGTAACTTCAAACCAAACTGCTTTAGGTTTTCATATCCATAAGAGATTAATTTCCAGGGATTCTGATTCTCTTGGATTTTTACCTACACAGAAGTCTGAAGGGTTTGAATGCAATACCTTGTGGCTTTCTTCCAAGCTTGGGAGTGTCTTCTAATTCAATTTCAGCTCCTTTACTGTTAAAAGGATGGTGTCTCAGTCTCTATGTGGACCAAAACTAAATCTGCAGTAGTGCGGAAAAGCTCCGTCTCCTATGTTTCATATCTAAAGACATCTGCAATTAACAGAATGGCCAGTAACCCTTGGCTGTGCATCAGTGCTGCTTGTGCATGCTAGTAGTAGTGACCAAGGTAAGCTGCTGCTCCTGACAGTGTCAGAGCCTCCAGAAGACCTTCAAACCCCCAGTGGAGTAAGTCTTTAACTCTGCTGGGGCTAACTGCTGTTGAATTAGGATGAGAACTGAGGCGTTAAGCTGCCTTGTGTCAAAGGCATCAAGATCTGCAAAAATCCACTTGGCTTGCTTACCTCCAGATTTACTAATGCTAGGATGGGCACTCTAGTTGTCCCCTCAATTGCAGGTGACAGGTGATGGCGTAACATGCTTCCAGATGACTCAGAGTTCCTATGGACTAACTTCATTCAGGGGAGAATGGCAAATCTTGCTGCCAGCAACATCATTCTAGTCACCAACAGTGAACTGGAAGTGGGATCTATGCTTAAGTGCAGAACCGTGGGTTATTGGTGTAAAACCTTGCTCTACTGGCTAGCTGCAAGTAGATTTGATTTGTTAGCACTAATGCTTGTTTTTTCCTCTCCAGGGTTGCAGGCCACCCACTGGCACAGAACGAGCGCTGTCTTCACATGTTCTTACAAGATGAAGTAATAGACAAAAACTACACACCATCCAAAATAAGGCATACTTGAGTTCTGAAACCACCTTCTTAAACATTAGTGGTTCTTATGCTTGGTTTTAAGAGGTTGTAGTTTGTCTTAGCATGCTGAGGATAAACAGGCACGAAGTCTCCACTAACATCAGTACACTGCTTGGTCTTTGCATATGCTTTATAGCATTAAAGAACTCACTTGTCTTCTAACTAAATCCCTCTGAATCCTTGATTTAAGAGTATTATAGTATGAGACCATCCACCCCTTGCAATGTCTCACAAACCTTTTGACTCTTACTTGCAATGACTTAACAATGTTTACTGACTTGGCCTTACTTGAACTTGCACAGTTGTAGTGTCACGTGTTCACTTGTATTTGACTCAACTGCTATGCTGTTTCTGAGGTAGTCATCGATCTGAACTTCTGTAGAAAGACTGCTTTACTTCTGATACCCTGTGTGAGAAAACACTTATGCAATTGTCGTCAAGCTTGTAAAACACTTTATACTGAAGTAATGAGGGAATTATCTTTATATTCTGTAAGAGGAAAAAAAATCAAATTTATATACTAAAGTAACTTGTCTAAAGTTTTGAAATAAAAGTGAAAATACACTTCAAATGTTTTGTCACTCTTGACCTTGAGTGTGGGGTGTCTCACGCTTTCTGAGAAGCAGGGCTTGGCTATACGAAGTGAACTGGTGTTTCAGTCTCTGATGCTCTTCTGCAATGTAGTCTTGTGTTACTAACAGCCAGTGCTAAATATCCACAGATGCTGGCACTCGCCACTCAGGTGTTAAGGAACATATAAAGGTGTTGAAAGCTGATCCTGTGTTGTGGAGCCAAAGCTGGAACCCCGTTCCTGGTAGGCAGTCAACAGATCTGTGGCTTCAGTAAGTTTGGGAAAAGAGTAGCCTTCTACTTGGCATGAGAAGCATCAGTTTAGCTTCAACTAGTCAGTGGAAATTATGCCATCCTACAGAGAAAGCAATGTTGACATAACCTGTAATATGTTATAGCTTCAGTCCTAGATTAAAGTAGCTCTGCTCAACAAATACTATTAGGAACATAAGGCATACAAGCCTGCCATAAAATGTGATCATAGACCACTTCCCTGAACACTAAAAGAAGGGGAAGCTGTAGCATTGTGCTTGTATGACTGCTGGTGAGCTGCAGGTGGTTGATGCCAGTTTGCAGGCAACACTGCTGAAGTCTGCTTTCCCTCTATATGCTTCCATAGTGCTTCCAAATGTGACATCGGAGTTACCTATCCAGATGCTCTTAAACAGATTCAACAACACTAGTAGTGATCTGATACAGTATTTTGTGCTATTTGGTAACAGTACATGTTGGCTTAGGCTTGGCTCTGCTGCTTTTTCCTTATAATACTACTTACCACTGTTGAGAACATCCTACAAACTTACTGGTAAAGTTATTAGTTTCTTTTAAATAATACCATTGAGCTCACTTATGGGAATCTGGATCTAAAAGATGGAACTGACAAAAGTGGTGGCTGACTGGATTATATTTAATACTAGTGACTAGCTAGACTGAATAGATGCTCAAGTAATTGCTCTTTCCCACCCATACTTAGACTGTGAATCTCCAACAGTCCTATTAATGAAACCAGGCACCAAAACTGACACAGTCCACTTATAGCTCAGAACTGTCTAACTTTTCAACACATTCTAGCTCTTCAAGAAATTCAGATAATGCAAAATCAATTCTAAAACTCCCTGTGCCTGTTGAATCATGCTTAAAAGCTGAGTTACTCTTGGGAATGGGGAAAGAAGGGCTGAATGTATATGAAGTTTTATTTAGGTTTAGATATGTAGTAAGGTGGTTTTCTTTTCTCAAATGTTCTTTTCTGAAAAAAGCTTCTTTCAGAAATCAAAGTAAATGCCCCATTTTATCCCTGAAAGATGATGGTGCGATCTGTATAGTCTGCTGGGGGAAAAGAGGATTGAGCTGAAGAGGAAAGAGCTGTATGTTTGGTGTCAAAGTATTATTTCCAAGGCAAAGATTTTTGAGTGTTAACATCTGAGGCTGATGGAACGTCTGCACTGGACTCTGGGATTTCACCTGGGCTTCAGTCCTTCAAGGCTAACTAGAGACTCTAATTCCAGTGTAGCATGACTGGTTCTGCTTCTGTGCAGTCTGCAGTACTGGGAAGAAGATGTGGTCTGAGATTGAATCACCTCTCAGACCTGTGCCTAAACCACAGGGATTTGGGCGTTGTTCCCAGCTTGTGAGTCTGCTCTGCAGAGCCTGCTCTGCAGCTGGGCTAGGTCCTGCAGGTAAGAGGGTGAGATAAAGGTGTGTACCTATTGCCCTGCCTGCTTTGCAACTGGGAGAAAGCCAGTATGTTCTGTTGCACCCTCTAGCCTGGGGGATCTAGGGGCTGGGACTACAGCACACTGCAGAGCATGGTTGCCTCGTGGCATGGATGCCATTCATGTTTATTGCTGCTCTGAGACAGCAGCATGAATCTTACTGAAATGAGCGTTCTGCACAGCAGCAGGTTCAATTTCTTTAGCTCAGACTGAGTTGTACCAGAGTGGAGAGCCACGACTGATTTTCTGCCATGTCCAGTTCTTTTTAATGTAGAGAGCAGAAAATGGTTGAAGGTTATTAAGGTGCAGTAAGAACACTTCATCAAGTGTTTGTTGATTTGTTTCTAAGAATGTGCTATGCCCTGTGGTAAATGCATGCTGAAGGGCTCCATGCTGGTTTGTATGGAAGAAGTTTCAAAGTCCCATAGTCCATGCTTTGTCTTACCCTACTCATCAAAAGACTGGTCTCAAATACTTTATGGTCTGGCTGCCTTGGAAAGGGCAGAACGTGGGACCTAGCAAACTGCACAGATAGAAGAGAGCTAGACTGAAAACTTTGACCTCTGAAACGCATGAGGTTTTTGTGCTTGGAGTCAGTGGAGCTGAGATGTCACTTATGATCTGCATTTCTTGATACTGAAAACCAATGAGCCATTGATCTACACTGTACACTTCCACCTGTCATTTTAGGGTGCATGGCTCTTCGCTCACTCATTGCCATGTGAACAGTATGTTGTATTTCCCTTCTTCTATTGCCAGCTTGTTCTTGTGCACTGGGAGTTGCTTACATCTTTTTTTGGTGTAATTACACAATTAGACACCTTAAAACCTAAAAATCTTTTTAATTGAAGCAGTGTTTTTGTACTTATCACCCCTTGTTAGATGCACAATTGACTGATATTAAAAATTGTAGTAACATGAAACAGAAGACTTGTACTAGGTTAGACTTCTGATCTGTTTAGTATTGTGTCCTAGAAAAAGCTATGTGTCAGCTCCTTGGGAAGGAAACCTTGCAGCAGGTGTATATTTGAATTGTAGAAAACAGCTCCAGGCAGGACCTCAAAGTCCCTTTGCCCCAAGGTAGGATCACCGAAGCTACTCCTTGAATGTTTATCTAACCTGTTTCTTAAAACCTCTGATGGCGGAGACTCTACAGCATCCAAGGCAATCCATTTTAGTAGAGAATATTTCTGTACTCTGGTAAGCAGGGTGCAGTGGAAGAAACTAATCCAGAAGTTAGGAGGACAAGTGTTGAAAGAACAGTGGAAAGTAATTTAAATTCAATATATTTTTATTCTTTGTAAATACAATGAGTACAACTTTTTAACTTCACAAATCAGTTAATCCACTTTGTACAGGAAAAGTTTTACTCATTCTATGATAGTCCAAGTGCTGATTTTTCTCAGTGCTAGTTCCTAATAACAAATCAAATTTTGAAAAGTACAGCAGCTATCTTTTAAATGTTTTTTCTACATTTTTCATACATCAAGTAAGCAGCTTATAACGTTTTTGTGTGTGAGAGGGTGTAGGCGAACAAGGCTTCAAAATTAGAACCTGGAGTTTTCTAAAAAGGCATTGGAGACTTTTGGAAATTGTTAGCATTGTATCAGTCAACAACCTTTATTTCTTTGAAATAAAGTTCCTTCCATTGATTTTGTTTTGTAGTCATTTCACTTCTCCGCACATCTCACTGACAAAGAGTTTGGCCACCGTTGCCTTTGGTTTCAGCACTGTGCCAACGGGACGGCCAGCAGGTCACTGAAGCGGTTGGTCATCTCCATTGTATTTGGTTTTGCTGTTTCAGCCTTCCTTTCTTGACTGGTATCTTTTCAGGTGTGTGTGTGAATGTGTGTCTGTGTGTGGGGAAGAAGGAGGAGACAAGGTCGGGGAGGAAGTGTATAAAGCTCTTCTGTCTGAGATGTTAACCGGGCAAATCGTGGTGACATCCGCATCAAAGATTGCCAGTTGATTTTGCGGGAAGAATGGAGCTGTCGTCATAAGCTACTTTTTCATCAGTTCTGAAGGCCACTTCATGATGTATTATAGCAGAAGCAATGTTTTGGTAACCTGGTCTTAAATGTTGCCTATATCATATTAAAAACATTTTCCCAACATAGGCTACTCTTAAAACAGTTCTGAAAGCCACCGCCTCTCATGTTACAACAGAAGCCAAGTTTGGTCACCCAGTTCCAAATACTGAACAAACGAAAGTACCTTCTTTCACATTTTCTCTCAGATCTGCCAGTTAAATGAGAGAATAGCGGAGTCTTTGTTAACTATGACTGGCATCTGAATTGCCTCCATCCTGTAGTAACAGGAATAGCAGCCAAATTCCAACCACTTTCACTTTTTCTGTAGAACAAAGCATTCTCTCCATGATCTAAATCACTCTGTTCAGAGCAGCAGAATCATATCTACTGGGTGTTTTTTTTTTTTTGTCAATGGGTTTAAAGGCTAAACATTCCCAGGCTTATGCTTCCTGTAGATTTTGTTAGTTGAGGCTTATTCTTCATGGATAAAAGTTCTTCTCAAACTGTCCATCCTGATTGTTTATTTTAAGGTAATTTATATGTCACTGGATTTGTACATATCTGAAAGCAGTCTTGTAATTGGTACATTCCCAATGGTCTTTTTGAAAAACACTTCTTCTATTGTAGATGGACTAATGGAACGTAAAGCTGGTAAAAGCAATAGAAGTTTTCCAAAACGACAGGGTTGTGTGGGATACCTGAGGGGCAGAGAGACAAAAACATGTTGAATTTTTTAGATATTTTTCCAAAGAAAACCTTGTGCTTTACAGAAAAGACCAATATTCAGCAAATTGTGTAGATGGGTGCTACCTGTGCTAAAAGCCTGTGTTTTGTACTCACAGGAGAAAAAAGGTTGACCCCAAGGAAAGCTCTCTTAATGTAGGTTAGCAGAATATAGACCAATGTCTCTGACTTCTGATTAGCTCCTTTGTTTATTCCCTCCAAACCGCAGCAATACAGGGACAGGATCTGCTCTGACTTGTCCCTCAGACAACGACTATGATTTTGATGCAGTTAGGGAAGAGCTTGACCTGTAATAAATACCTTGTCATTTAAAGTGCAATTTAAACATGGATTGTCATGGTAATCATTTTGCTCCCCTTTGGTCACCTTATACATTGAATACCAATTGGAAAGAAATTTTTTGTATTGAAGAAGCTGTGTTTTATCCCCAGGTAATGTATTTGCATCATAGGATATTTTCCTTCCTTTCTCCCAGCTTTTGAAGCCAGCACAACATAGGATATGTATTTTAGTTGTGCTTACGCTGACTTTATACCAGTGGCATTCTCAAACCTCTGCTTACAGTGGTCTCCCTGAAAGGAGGAGTAGGTCGTTTGGAGAAGCGTTCTGCTTCTCCGGTCTGCCCTCCCTTGCGTCCTGTTTGGAGCAACTTCAGTGAGATTAAAGGGCTGATACTGCCCTAACACTGGCAGGAAGGTAAATTCAAGCCTGAGGACGAAATGCAAGCTGAAAGCCCTATCCCATTGGAGTCAACGTGACAGTCCTGTCAGCGGACTGCACTTTTGTTCCTTGTAAAAGGGTATCTTTGGCAACAGATACTGTTTAGCCCAGTAGCTAAATATTTCCAGCAGTGCAGAAATGCAATGGAAAAGTCGCCATGCCTGGAAACCATGGCCACTTAAAACCATTGCTCTCTGGCTTCTCCCTCCAACAGGCCCTGGCTCACGCACAGTCTCCAGGGAGCAATCTTCATGGGCAAGGCCTTCCGTAAGAACAGGAAGAAGTTGCTACGCAGCGGTTATTCTTTTTGCTCTGAACTAGCCTTAACAGGATGGTATTTGCATTTTTGCTCCCATTCCTAGAGCAGGCCATTCCCTTTCAGCTAAGCAGAAGTGCTTCAGAGACTGCTGCCATCTCATCTCTAAGACTGAGTAGACTTCTGCTAGACAGAGCTATTATGAGAGCAGATCAAAGTTTCAGAAGCAAAAAATGGTATAAAAGTTCCTCTTCCACCGCTCTCCCACTGTGCTAGTCTCATGGACCCCCACTGCAGCTAAAGGACTGAGACATGGACTTTACAAGACCTGTCGCAGCTCTCCTCAGAAGTCCTGAACCAGCCAGAGCAGCTGTTGCAGAAGATGTTAGGTGTACTCCTCTGGCTCCTGCCATGTCCCACCACCCTGAAGTGGTCCATAGCACGAGGCTACTGATCTGTTCATAGCCAGCTGTTCTAGAATGTGGGGTTGTGTTTTGCACAGGACGTTTTGTGCTTTCCTGAGCTCACTCCTGCCACTTTGTGGGATGACAGCGACAGCTTTTACAGCAGGTGTTAAGATTTCTGTATCCCGTGGGACTTAACCTGAATGAGATGGGGGGGGACTATTTTCTTCCCGAACAATGATTCTCATCACTCTGCTGCGGCACCAAAGTGGGATTCACAATTTCTGGATTTTTCATTTCAATCTGAGAACAGGCTTCAGGTAGAGTCTTGGAAGACCCGTTTAGCTCCCTTCGGTCCTGACTTCCGTGTCTGCAAAATGGGGGAATTTATATAGGGATCGGAGATCTTGGATGAAAAGATGCTGGAAGATGTGGTATTGTTTTGAGCATCACTATTAGCAGTAATTAATGGAATAAAATGTGGAGGAAGATGTAGCCTTCTGAACTGCAAAGCGTTCCATGGCAGGTATCACGTCCCAGGGGAAGATCTCTCCTTTTACCGCTTTTCCACTTGGCTGCATAAATCCCACGTTCCCCATTTCATCAGGAAATGCCGAATCCCGGCAGGCTGACAGCCAGCGCGTACTCGCCCTAACAGCCCCGTCCCGACTTCAGCCAGTGGAAATGTCACTTTCGCTGCGGTGGGAGTGGGATTTTACCCCTACACCTGCAAGAAGTATTGAGGGCAGACACCGCTCACCTGGTATGGATGTAGCTGTTCAGAGTGAGCTGGGCTTCGTCTTGAAGGGCTGCTATGGCGGCAGCGTTTCGGAAGCTCCTCAGTTCGGAACCACTGTGTGTAGGCACTGGAAAGCAGACCGGTTACTAGTTCAGCTTGAGCCTTGGGTGGGTCAAAACAGTTCAGCTAGTGCTATCACTGGAAATTAAACGTTCCCATCAGTTCCCCAGCACTCCACTGTCAGCCTTTCAAAATGCAACACTCACTGACTATTGGAATTCAGTACCGGGAAACCTGTTGGATAATATAATGCTATGGCTGGTTTAGAACATCATTTTTGCTTGAAAGTAGCAACCTCAAAGTTATCAGAGCAGACGAGCATGAGATTCTTTCCGCTTACCAGCTTTAAAAGTGACAATGCATTTGAGACAGGCAAATTCGGTAGCATCTAGCCGAAGTTGTCTAAATCTAGCCACAACCTCCTGTAAAGCCTGTATTTCTGAAATAATTTTATTCAGCTTCTGAGAATCTGTATTGTCACCGTTCATGCCTAAAACAGAAACAGATGAAATAAATAATATTAAAGGCATTTGCTTTATTTTATATTGATTTCTGACAAAATCCTCTATATCAATATCCACTCTATTGTCACACTTGTCTATCTGGTTCCATGTAAACTGACTATATTGTATGAAAGTTAATATAAAATCTTCTCTTGGATGATAACAAACACAGTAATTTGCATTTAAATGACAATGCAAGCAGTCATGAATACAACAAAACAACATTATTTGCATTTAAATATAGATTTATAAATGACAGGTATGCTCTATTGTTCAGTAGGAATTTGTTATTCTTTACATGTTGTTCTTTTTTCAGTAATGTATTTTTATGGTAATTTTTGTAACAAAGTCATTAAATTGTGCAATTCTTACCAGATACAGCCAGTAGAGTGTTAGCATCAACTGGAATGGCCCATTGTGCTATTCCTAGAACAAACAGTTCTCTCCAAGCATCTTCCAAAAGCATCAGCTGTCATACAATAGATGTACAATATAACATAGTGTATAATTTATAGATTTATAAACAATTTAAATATGTAAATTTCTGTTATTTTAAAAACTACTTTAAATGCCTGTCATGGTATTTTCCCCACAGCATTCATTAGCTCTTCTCTTAGCTTTTTGAGAAGGTGTCTAGAAAGAAGTCTATATGCATTGTAGAAAAACACCGAGGGCTGGCTCACTGTGCACCATGTTGTGAACCAAAAGGGAGGAGAAAGAGAAAAGGAGAGTGAGAACTCCCGCCCCAGAGAGCTCGCACACAACGCGAGCACTCGCCTGTGTTTGTCAGCACAGCACGGGCTCTCTTCTCCTCTCCCTGGGCACACGTGGCTGTCCTAGGACAAGCTGGAAGAGTGCTCTCCCATTGCTCTCTAGGGATTACCCTCCTTTCCCTCTGGAAGGCAGGATTTGTGAAGAAAAGCCTGCACAACGTCCTGAAATTGCATCAGTCGGTAGGGAGCACTGCTCGAGATCACGTATTTATCTTTAACCCCTTCCTTGCTAAGCAAGTCTTTAGCTCTTTCAAGCACAGCATTTGGACACACATATGGTTTCTCAGTGTCGCCTGTTTCCCTGTTTTTTCCTTAAAATTACTCAGAAATTCCAGGCCCTAAGAGCTGTTTCCTTTCAGAGAGCTGAGTATCCAAGCACCTACGCTGACAGCATTGCTAGTTCTGTGCAATTTTTGTACATTGCCCCGTTTGATGGAGGATGTGCTTTTCCCTTTTGGAGGCAATGCCTGTGATTTCCGTGGAGAGGCAGTGGTGCATCTGAAGAGGAGACACGACTCCTGGTTAATGCAGGCTGGCAAAGCCAGAACAGACGTGTTTAGTCTTGGGGGCATCTGTGGGTTGTTGGCCTGGACCAGCTCGTAAGAGGGATTTGGAGGACCCCTGGTTCAGCTGAAGTTCATGGCCCAAAGGATATGCTGTGGTGCATAGGCATTGCTGGGACCTCATGTCTCTCGGTAGGGTGGGAGAGATTTGGAGGGGCGAGGACTACAGTGGACTCAGGAAGGATCATCTGGTTGCTCCGTGCAGTGAGAATGGATTGCTCAAAACTCATGCAGCCAAAAAAAAGCAAACCACAAGCATTAATATTGCTACGGTCTCTGAAAGCATCAGCGGCTTAGCTTCTTAGGAAAATAAGAAGGAGGGTATTTTAAGGCTGTAAAGATGCTGTAAAAGAAAGAATAAAGTAGAAAAATATGTCTTACCAAGTGAATTATGATTTCCTTGGAAACAGATATGTGAAAGTAATAGATGATACAGAAAGCATGCAATCAGAGTGAATCCTTTATCTATGTGCTGGCTCTTAACAGTATTAGGAGTTTTAAACCACTCTGTTCCAACCAAAATGGGAGGAGGAGCTCTCAGAGTCCTTGCTCTCAGCTTGTCACTGCAGGCTTACGCCCATTTTGTGCATTTTTGCGCTGCGTGCTTTGCAGAACTTCTATATGGCTTGACTAAAGAAATTGTGATGGGAGAGTATTTCTGTCTCTGCATATAGTTACTGTTTGAAGCAATTACATTGGATGTTACAGTACTGGAAGCTGCCCAGATTATTGTATGAAATACGGAGGGGAAGGGGGTCGGGGGTGCAGCACCCATCTCAGCTCTGTTCTGAGAGCAGCTGAACCTGCTCTTAAGTCTCCTAACTGCTGCTGCCTGTGAAGCCAGCCCCTCCTCCGGGTAATCCTGCCTGATGGGTGTGCAGGTTTCTGTATGACATAGGAAATGATTCTCCAGCCTTTCATTTGCTTTTGTAAAACTTTTTTTGTCATTCATTCATGCAGATACAATGGTAATGAATGGTGGTTCCTGGAAGATATCAATTTCATATGTTCTTTCCCACTAAGTTTTCAAAGTCAGAAGACTTTAGAAATAAGAGACTATTCAAATAGCTGAAGCTTTCTTCATGCCTATGCAGAAGTCTGTAAAACCACCAATTAAAATAATTCATGCTGAAGTCATACTCAGCCCTCCTTCTTCAAAGAAACAAGAAATACCAGGCTTTCTGAAGGACTGGGTTTTGCTTCTTAATCAGCCCCATCCCGTTAGTATGACCTTTTGTCGGTGACCTGCATTGGGCCAGCCTGTCTTACGGACAAGCTGAGCAGGTGTGCAGGCCAGCAGAACCTGAAGCAGGGCGTTTTTGTTGTGTGGCTTCCAGCCCACAACGGCATTAACTCTGCGGAGCTGGGGAAGGGACACAGCCTCTGTTTTACCAAGGGCAGTAGCACAGCAGTCCTCGGACTCGTGTTTGGTCAGCAAATTGGTTTCTACGTATTTCCTTGCCTTCGAGATGAAACCGTCACAGAGTCCCAGAGTCGCAATGTGCTTGCCTTTTTGGAAGAGCACAAATGAAAGCAGAATCCAGGAAAAGGTTTTATGGTCTACTCAGGCAGATGTGAGGGATACAAACAGAGAAATTCAAACATTTACAGCTGGGCCATTGTGAAATTAAATAATGCAATGGCACTATTAGAAAAATCAACAGTCTGATTATTCATGAAATAAGGTGATTAAAATCTGAGTTATTTCTTCTCCAGCTCTCCTGAATATGACAAGGGAATCGTGCAGAAAGAGGCCCAGGCCAAAGCTTCAGAGCTGAGTAGCTCTGAGTTTTGAGGAAGCTGGCTTGCTTTGAGGTGCAGCAAGTCAAAGCTATGTTAAGGAACAGCTGGGGTTTTAATATGTAATTCACTAATGTTAGTCCCTGATATGAAAGTGAAAGAGGCAGTGGGTTTATTTAAAGATAATGGGAACACTCTGGTGTCTGTGGTAGATGAGCAGGCCTTGCTGTTTGCGGCGTGCTTGGTCATGTGCAATGGAGACTTCCCTTGCTCCCAAACCTTGCTGCCCCCTCTTCCGCACACGAACAGAGATGGCCGTGTGCGAAATGCATCCATGTGATGTCAAAAGAAGCCTTCACCTAACGAGCCTCCTGTGGACATCACTGGTCTGGAGATGGACCCAGCCTCTTCCCACACGCTGAGGCTTCTGCTGAAGCAGCACCCTTGCTGCTCATCCCTGATATTTGGGCCTGTTTCTTTGGTGACAGACCCAGCACTCCACAGGAGTAGCGGCAGCAGAAGACAACGTTAGAGCACAGCGTGCTGCACTGGGACTGCTGTCTTCTCGTGGTGTTTGTAACCTCCCGGGCCCTATCTCATCGCTGCCCACACGCTCAGCCCGTAGCACTACCGCAGCCAGAGCTGAGCGGCATCCCCTTTTGCCTAATTTCGTAACAGGAGTTTCAAAACGTGGGTCTGGTGCTAGAAAAAGGAATGTTTCGATGTACCTTAGCTTTATGTCACATCATGACCATCACGATTTACCTTTAGGTAGAAAACACTGTTGGTTTCCTAAGCAGCTTTTTCCTTTCAGTTCAAAATGCGTATTTGCGTGTCAACTGCAGCACTTGCAGCAAGCATCCTCTGATGACTACTATGTAAAATCTAAGGTACAATGTTTCTAGTTGCAATTTTGGGAAATTAGCTCAATCATATCAAAGTATGAGAAGTCTTTTATGATTGGAGCTTTGTGTAGATTTCCACCCTTCCATTTTATAATTATCTGATTACTTTTTTTTAAATAGTGCATTATAAAAAGCACACTGAGTCCTCATCAAGAATCAAGTCATTAAGAAATTGCTTCAGCTCGTATGGTTCACGTATGATTTAGATGAGGCAAAGGCAAATTGTCATAGAGCAAAACAAGACAAATCAAGGAAGACTTTAATTAATGGTGAAAAATATTGGAGGCTGGCCAAATTCTGCTTCCACCATATTGGTGTAATTGTAACTTCACTGAAGCCAACGTGAATAAGAAAAAAATATTTGGCTGTGGGAGAGGAGAGGAGAGGAGAGGAGAGG